CTCCAAAGCTGATGTTGTGAAGGAGGTTTGTGAAAATGTAAGAAAGATTTAAGTTTGAAGCTGATTAAGGAAGCCAGCAGATTGGGGGGGGGCTACATAAGGAAGCCTGCCAGCTAGAGGAATCTAACGGGACCCGAGCCTACAGATGACAATATATATCCAGAACTCCCTTCAGTCCTCGTGTCCTCTTTCCTCCTTTTATCTGCACCCTCCCCCATCTCAGATAACCCACCAGATCCCTGAAAATCCACCATCAGCGCTCCGAGGCCCTGCTGATTGAAAGGAGTGTTATTAGTCCCTGCTAACCTGCCCTTTCACTGTTTAAAGCGTTGTTTATTTGATGGAGGGGATGTGTATAGACATTGCTGAGGGGGCTTTAGAGGTTGGCAGACACTCTGTGCCAAATTATATGCATGACTCCTCTCGCTATGCCGCTTCATGTGGCTGCCAAGTAAGGTTTCTCCGATGCTTTTGCCAGGGGACCTAGACTACCATTCAAACCCCCCACTAGCCTTATAACACACACACATACACACACACACACACACACACACACACACACACACACACACACACACACATACACATTAAAAAAAGACCTTGTACATCCTCAACGGCCTCTTTCCACCTCCCTCCCAACCTGTACCAACCCTGCTCCCACTCCCGACCCCTTCAGTCTCCATACCACACTCATTATTAATGATCTGAGGGACAGCTTTCATTTGATCTATTAGTTAGGATGGGACAGCGGCTGCTGTAGTGCTGCATCCCCCCAGTGGATCTTTAATTATTTCATGGAGGAGCTTTCCTCCTCACCGCCGCTGCGTCTCTGTTGTGCAGATGAAATATTGAAGTTGAGGAGTGCGGTGCAAAGTGGCCTCATACAGGGTGAGGTGTGTGTGTGTGTGTGTGTGTGTGTGTGTGTGTGTGTGTGTGTGTGTGTGTGTGTGTGTGTGTGTGTGTGTGTGTGTGTGCTCGTCTGGCCTTTCGCTCCCCTACTTCTGTGCAGTATTCAGTATTTGTTTGAATTGTCAGCGTGTGTGAGTGTGTGAGTGTGTGAGGCTGAGCCGAGGAGTGTTTCCACTACATCTGACTTGGATTTTTATCTTCGGTAGTAAAGTCTCAGATTGGTTGGTTATTATCTTTTGCCTCCAACCACAGCTCCGCTTACAAACACTCAAAGTGTGCGCTGTATTTGTTAAAACCTCTGAGTTCGTCTCGGCCGTGCAACAAAATTAGCTAAAAGAAAAAGTTACGAGAAGAAAAACATTATGACAAATGTGAATTATTCCACCGTGTGTGTGATACACTGTGATTATGGGCCATTAATGTCATATTACAGTTGTGTTGAGGGGCAGTAACGGCATGATATCACCACTCACTTCTCTCTGCCAAGCATATTAGGGTTTAACAACACCTGACAGGAAAATGTGGCAAACGCCAGGAGCAAACACAACTTTAGGTATGATCTATGGCAGAAGGCCTAATTGCTTCACTCACATTTATGTTAGACTTTGCGTGTTAATGGCACTGAATCACCAGGCAGCTAAGGAATTATGAATTTACTAAAGCATACTGAGATATCTCATGTGGATAGATCCATACTCTATAAACGTAATGACACCTTATTGTGCTTTATGAGAAGCACGTGATGCTGAGATTTGCATCCACGACACTCAGTAAAGCACAGGGCTGATGTAACCGACGGCGGACGCGGCCCATGCACTTATGAGTGGGGGAGCACGGGAATGACATTGATATACAGCGCTCCATTAATTGCCATATGAATACGGCCTGCATTGGTTGGCGCTCTGCTGATGCATCGCGGTAAAAGAGATGGGTCACTCTATCTTCTCCAACTCGCAGCTTTGCCAAGCTCATAATTACTAAAACCCCCAATTAATCTTCTCATCACAGAGGCCAAACGTACACTTGCTGGCCGTATAAATGAGTTACAGTATATGTGCTCTTAGCAAATGTGCACACATTTTGAGGACATCGAGAACAAACATGAACTCGGTGTGCTTTACTCTTCCATTCTGAACCACACAGATTACCAAATTCCATCGCTTGTTGTCAAACTGGCTGGTAGTGGTCTCTTGTTTTTGCAAAACATTAAAGAAAATGGTTTAAGTATTATTAGTGGTCGATGAAAAGACAAAATGATAGACTCAAATAATTCTAAAGCAGAGGTATCGTTGGTTCAGCCAGAAAGAATAAGACGAGACCATCTCCACCATTGCTGCTCACTTAGCTATATTTAGGGTGTGTTCAGATGCTCCAGAGACGTTTTAGTGACTGGCGACAAATCTAACATTTTATTGAGAGATTTTTATCAGGAAACAGTTGACCCCCATTCCAGATTGCTCACAGGGGGCCCAGTCATGCTTTAGCTGCAGTCAGAACACGAGGCGTTAACCAATCTGCCCTCGAACTGTAGATGAATCACACCAGTGTGATCAGAGGCGCCGAGTGCCAATAGGCAGGGCAGGCATTTGCTTGGGATCCCAGAGGATGACAAACTTTGAAAGAAGCCAGAACCGCAACAACCGTGAAAAGGTTAAAGTTCTCAATTGACAGCGCGGTTTCCTGTCTCACACTCCCTGATGGGGCCTTCGGCCTCCGTTACGATGACTCAGCCAGAGACCAGCCGCAGACATCGTTGACGCCCCTGCTTCAGCCACTTGTCAGCGCAGCAACATTCCCTAACCCTATCCCTGCTCAGACAGAGACACTGCAGCACACTTCCTAGTCTGCTGTGGACTGCAGGTCTTCTGGCTAGGGGTCCCATGACTAGGCACTCTTCTGACTCAACCCTAGTTTACGGTCAGCTCAAATAATAGACAGTTGAAACTGCAACATAAAAAAATGTATCAACTACCGCATCCTTTCTCCTACAGCAAACATTATAATTGCACATACTTGGCTGATTAGAAGATGATGTCGTTTAGGAGTCATGAACGCAGATTTCTGCCCAAACTGTTTTAGCTGTGACACTTCCTGTCTGATGTTTGTGTACATTCAAATAACAGTTCAATTCAAGTTTATTTATATAGCGCAAAATCACGACAAGAGTCGTCTCAAGGCACTTCACATAGTAAACGTTCATATACAGATCAGTTCATTAGGCCAATCAGAAAAAAGTTCCCTATATAAGGGACCTTGCAAATTGCAGCGAGTCACTGACTAGTGTCAAGCTTGGTTTATGCTTGACGCATTCACTTTCCGCGCGGTGATGCGGCTCGCGGATAGAACGAGCTTCACAACTCGCAGCGTTTATGGTTTGTGCGGCTCGTCTCTGCGGTGAGCCAATATTCTCCCAAACTGTAGGGGGCAGCATGGAGCTCTACAGCATGCATCCAACACTACACCATAGTAGAAGTAGAAATTACTGTTGTTTACAACATGGCATTCCAGCATTTTTAACAGCGTCCTCGTCTTTTTCGACAGTGCGAGCTATTTCTCTCCAAGAATTATTAACAACATGTTGATCACGGTGATCTTTGAGAGCTGAATCATACAAATGTCTGTATTTACGAACCTCTGCCATACTAGTTCTTGCCGGTCCGCCATGTTTTTCTGCTTCCATCCATCCGCGTGGTTAGAAATTTTTCGAGGTGCGCGTTGCGGAAATCTTGGGCCGTGCGGAGGGTGGAGGGGCGTGGTTGTTAAAATGATGCAAAATGACGCAACTTTTCCGCTCGGAGCCGTGCGGACCTCGCGGACGCGTCAAGCATAAACCAACCTTCAGTGACTTTACAGCAATCCTCATACTAAGCAAGCATTTAATGACGGTGGGGAGGAAAACTCCCTTTTAACAGGAAGAAACCACCAGAGGATCCTGTGCCAGTGCCAACAATGTTTGAATTTGATCATTTGAGCTTTGTTCTCTTAAAGTATCTTTTCAGAGTTTTCCCCTTTCTAAAATTATGAATGATTTTTCAGAAATCCGTAAAAGTGATTACTTACTGGTGGTCCCTCGATCCAGATGCAAACCTAGGGGAGATTGTGCATTTGGGGTCCTTGCTCCAACTTTGTGGAACGGTCCTTTAACTGTTAGGCTGGCGCCTTCCTTCCAGACTTTTAAGTCACTTCTGACGGTCATTATCACGTGACAGCGACTTGTTGATGACAGGCATAAAAAGTCACTACAGAGCAGTGAAGTCGACTAGTTCATACAACCCCTGACACAGTCATTCACCCATTCACACACACATTCATATGCTGGAGAGAATTAGCTACAGTGTAGCCACAGCTGCCCTGGGGCGCACTGCTGGAGGCGAGGTCCCTACAACCACCACCAGCAGGCAAGCTGGGTTAAGTGTCTTGCCCAAGGACACAACAGCAGCTTTCTCTAGTGGGAGTCAGGATTGAACCTTCAACCTTCTGATTACTGGACTCTACCTCCTGTGCTACTGCTGTCCCAAAGCAGTAACGCCTAATGTATTCTTCTCCGTCTGCGTGGGTACAGAGACACGCAACACCATTATGCATTAACGCAACGGCTTCCCGACATGCCTGCAGGGAGCGACGGAGACATGCCCAACTTTTTAACTATCCGTCAAAAGTGACAAAGACCACCAACCTGTGATTGGTCAACAATTGGTCAAACAATTCCCAGCACCGCCATTGCAACCTCAATAAATAAAGAGAGCTCAAGATAGCTAGCGGCAAATGGAGCAGACTGCAGAACGCCTCGTGGAAAAAGTCCAAAAACATGAATGTTAATTGAAACGTGACTGAAGGAGTTCAATGATACGCAGCAAGAGTTTTATTCGTGGACGGAAATGATGGAAAACGTGGGTTTAGAGGTGGAGGAAAATGGGGGACCGATTTGTCTGTTGAAAAGTCTCTGGAAAAAGGAGTTTATGACATCATTACCCCAAGAGTTCAAGCAGTTCGATTTCTATTACCACTTAAATGTTATCCAGTCATACTCTGCGCAATAAATTCACAACAGAAAATAAAAGTATTTGAAAAAGAAAACTCATTTCACAATAAAAGGAGGAAAATGTTTTTTTTTATTTTCAAAAAATAAAAATAAACTGTTAATGTAATGATTTACACACAGTTTAAATTAATGATAGAACAAGGACAACATTTATAAATGATGTAAAAATCTGCTCAGTAGTGTTTATTTTATTCTCATACAGGATTTACATAATTAAGATTATTATTATTATTTTACTGTGTACATTTGACATGAACTTTGCTGGAGCAGATGTTACATATCTGATTTTTCTTCTCTGCAGTAAATAGAGCATTGTGTTACAACAAACCAGTGTGGAATGAGGTCATTTTGAGCCGGATTAACTTTGTGGCTAAGACTTAAGCTCGTGATGCAGACTGTGTGAGATGTTCAGGTGTTGAGATTAGGACTGTCTTGTTTAAACACATATATAAAATCTAAGTTACGTGCTCCTATTCTTTTGCTTTTGTGTCAGTCCAAATAAAAAGTGGCTACATTTTGTCTGAAAGCTACACAAAGAGGTGGCAAACTGTTGAGAAGCTCACTTCTTCTTGACAAAACTCCAGCTTGAGTGTGTGTGTGTGTGTGTGTGTGTGTGTGTGTGTGCTTCCACATTAATATGTATTTCTGTTTGCAGCATGAAGTTCTGGCTCCCGGCCACTCAACCTTTACTCATTGTGAATAGAATCTCTTTTCCACACTCCAGTCTGGCCACCTGCCCTCCTGCCATCACTTTGACAACACCTTACTGGCTCCTAGTGGCGATAAGAGGTACTGCTCCCACTTGATATTTGGCTGCCAGCGGCAGAGAGGGAGAACTGTTTACAAGTGGCATTTACCCCTAATTAAAAGCAGCACTTGTTGGAGCACTAGGTCTGCAGAGGGACTCGCATCCACGGTGACGCAGTCAGGGCCACTGATCCTCCGATAAGCTTCCTCCACTCTGCAGGCAGACACAGACAAGTGAGCAATGGCAGCTTATAAACTCTGAGGATGGTTAATGCTCCCAGTGCAGCAATAGGTACAAAACACCACAACTGTGAGAAACAACACACGTGAGTCAGTGTAAAGCGTTTCCCTTCGTCCAATCAGCGGAAAAAGATCACCCTTGTGTTAGTGATTGACAGTCCTCCTGGAGCAACTCCTAACTCCTTCAACTTCCTAATTCTGCTGGCCCAACATCTGGCCGGCCCATGTGGACAGGCCATTACGTCAGGGCAGAAGATGAATGAAAGTAGCTATCGACCAGTCTGGGCAGCGACTAACTGGGCTGGCAACGGCTGCAAGTTTTGACCAGCTTAATGGAGCACAGCAGCTCGGCAACTAATCACCTGCTCTTTCTCATCAGCTTCTTGCCCCGTGGGACGGTAATTGATTGTTAAGTGTTTGATGGATCAGACTAAGACTGAGCTGCCCCGACTGGGAAAGTGCTGTACAGTTTGTACCCATCTGTGTGGTTTTCACAGTCAAATACAACTTCTTGCACCAGCCATGAGACATTTGACACACGACAGACGTTTTCTTGTTTCTCCTCCATCAGGCATCATCGACTCTGGGTACCGCAACACCTCAAAGAATACCAGCAGCTTGAGTGAATATTGAGGCACATTTTTAAGGTTTATTAAAAAAAACATCTCCAGTCTGCAAAATGATCATGTCGTGATTATTTCAAAGCATAAATATGGCCAGCAGTAAAGACTTGCCTTTATGGTGCATTCAGGTGTCAGGTCCAGGAGAAATTATGTATTTATATTAATGAAAATAATGATGTAATGCAAAACTTATAACATGGTAAAAGTTTATGATATAACATTTGCATTAACCACTGTTACAATTTTGTTATTTGGAACCTTTTTAGGTGGCATTAATACTCTTTTGGTTTGTCCTGGTTGGTTGGTTGTCTATTCATTTATTTATTTATTTACGTGTTATGTGTGGTCTTGGCCTGTTATGATGTTTTAATAAACTTTTTTTAATTTCTTGTTTTTATTCACAGTTTTTATTTTACTTATTTATTGTTTGAATTTTTTACATTGTTGTGAAGCTCTTTGTGGCTTATGCCTGTGAAAGGTGCTATACAAATAAAGATTACCTACTTACTCCTGTCCAATGAAAGCACCATTTCTCCAAACGGTGGCTGTTCAGGAAGCTATCTTCAAAGGATGAGCTAGGAGTTATTAAAATTAGGACAGGAGTTCCTGAAGAGGCGCTGAAGCAAGCTACTTTTTGAATGTACACAATTCAAAGGTCCAACCACCTTTCCCCTTAAGACACGCCTCCAGAAAGCAGGACCACACAATAGGGAGGCTTAGGCCTAGCCCACACGTAGCCGGGTTTTTTAAAAAACGAATATCCGCCCCTCCAAAAACTTGCATCCACACCACCGCGTTTAAAAAAAAACTCTGTCCACACGTACCCGGATAAATGCGTTGTTAAGGACATGCCAGACCTGTAGGTGGCAGTACTTCCCCCGTTCTTAACCTCGTCCTTTGTCTGTGGTCTTCCACAAGGAGCAGTAATTCCACTTGCAAAAACAAACAAGCAAAAAGCGCTTGGACAATTGATACAGCGAGCGCAGCTCTGAGGGCATCCATGCTGTCGGCTAGTGTAAACACAGGTCGCACACGTGATGTCAGCATTTTTTTGTCGTGGAAAGTGATGTTGCGGACCTTAAAACTCCGGTTTTGTCTGTCCACACGCAGGCACCCAAAACGGAGAAAACGCAGATCTTCACTTTGGCCGGAGTTTTTAAAAAGGTCCGTTTTCGTGTGAAAAAACTCCGTTTTCGTGTGGATGACAGGCCAAAACATAGAAAAATATCTACGTTTTGGCAGATCCCCGGCTACGTGTGGACTAGGCCTAAGTCTCCTCCCTTTCCGGTCGGCTCATGGGTCCTCGGAAGAACGAAAAAATGAATGCAAGTCAACGGAGCTAAAAGCGCTATTTTCCAATCCGCTTTGCTTTGCCCTGGATCACACACACGTTGTACTGCAATTTCAATGGAAGGTAATGACGGGTGTTTCGACCATACTAGTCACTTTATCAGCTTGTAAAAGTTCGTAATTAGCATGACTACACACCAGAAATCGGCACGTCGCATATGTGACTTCACCACATAATCTCTCCCTAAAGTAGCTGCTACTTACCACATGACCAGATTTATGGTGGTTCTTTCCTCCTGTGGGAAGTTTGCTGAACTTACAGCCCTTTACCCTCAGTTTTCTCCGTGTCTGGTTCGATGAAGTGAAGCACATTTGTAGTCCTGGACTTATTGTCACACAAAACCTAAAATATCGTTCCCCCTGTTCGAAAATAAGCGCATCCTTGGTATCAAAATGTGTCTTTAAAATTCACGGACATCACATGTGAAATCCATGGCACAAAACAAACGGAATTAGAAAAATGCGTTTTTAGCCACATTGACTTGCATTCATTTTTTTCGTTCATCTGGGGACCCATGGTCCAGAAGTAGATGGGCGTGGCTCCCTATAAGGAAAATGGCTGTAAGTTCAGCAAACTTCTAATCCTTCCCACGGGAGGAAAGAACCACCATAAACCTGACCATTTGGTAAGCAGCAGCTACGCTAGGGGAGAGGAGATTATGTGGTGACGTCATATATGCGACGTGACGATGTAGTCATGCTAAATACGAACTTTTTCAAATCTCAAAGTGCGTGACAGGCATGGTCGAAACGCCCATCATTACTTTTCATTTAAATAGCAGTACAACACGTGTGCGGTCCAGGGTAGCTCTTTTAGCCCCGTAGACTTGCATTAATTTTTTCGTTCTTCCAGGGACCCAAGAGCCGACCGGAAAGGGAGAAGACTTAGGCACCCTATGCTTAATCCTGCGGGTTCCATTTTATCTTTTTGACCCGTTGTTCATGTCTTTTCTGTCATAGTTACTATAATAACGCAGCTACACAACTGTATAACAGATACAGCTAATATAGTGTGCTGTTTTTACTGGGGAAATTTGCAGTGATGATGTTTCAATCTCCACAAATAACACAAGGCTGAAGACATTCTGCCATGTTGATACTATAAAGATACTAATGCTAACGGTTAGCTTCTACTAACCGAGATGTGCTCTGCTCTCTTGGACAGCAGCAGCCTTTCCTCATCGAGAGCCAAGTTGGGTGAGTCCATGAATGTTAATTTTCAGTGTGATGTAGATCTGACAGGCTTTTCCAATTTGCGAGTTTCATCATCAATTTTCTATCAGTGGGTAATGCAAATAATAGGGCGAGAAGACTATTTTCACAGATAGCCTGCAAGTTAAACTCAGAGTGACCAGTAATACTTCAAAAATAATGAGTAAAAAGGGTTTCTCCGTGAACTTGCTCTTTAAGGGTCATGCTATACTTGCTGTTTCACCTCGTGTTGGCGCAGGCAGCGTCTTTGTTCACATACTTGCTGCTATATGGCAATGCGTGTAGTACTGGAGTGTTCCACTGGGGGGGGGGGGGGGCGCACTAGAGAACTCAGACCGGATAGAAAGCCAGGCTTGTGGGAACAACCAAAACAAACATGGCGTCAATAAAAGAGCTCAGTAACTGGTTAATTTTGAGATCACGACAGAAAAAAAGCGAGCAGCGGTATCGTAGATGATATGAAAGACCTCTAAACCAGAGACTGAGTCACCATGGTGACTGTGTTCACCATGGTGACTGTGTCTTGCTCGCTTTGTCAACCCCACCTATTCGTTACTCATATATTGCAAGGTTCGCAAGCAACACTTGGCAGCCATTTTAAACGTGTGTTCAAGTTGGTAAAAGGAAACTATATGGCTCTAATTCCAACGTCAACATCACAGCATCTCAGGAACAATCTGAGAAAACCCAACGGATGATAAGTTAAGACTTCCAGAACCCGACCTAAACCTCATCCAACTAACAAACTCCCCCTCCCAATCCCGCCCCCTCTCTGCACACACGGGTGCACTGTTTTGCCAGCCGACAGAGTTGAGAAGAAGCAGCTGCATTTACAGACAACGGGTCCATCACATCGTTTTCCAACAGGAACAGAACCAGAGTCTTAACTGAAAATGTGAAACAACTCCTTAAATAAAATGTACAAACATAACAAAAGTTCATTACACTAGCTAGCCAGGCTCTGGCTTTGCTTCCTGTTCGGCTGCTCCGTGCTGCGATTTGTGTACGCAAAAGGGAGGAATGTTCAGTGGGCAGTTTGATGGATGGGCTACGATCCAATCATTAAAAGGGGTACATTCACAATCATTGGATGAGGTTTATCCAGGATTTTACAAGTTTGAGGTGATTAAAATCAATCTATTTTAGGGCTGCACAATATATCATAAGTATATCGTTATTGCGATATCAACATGGACAATATGCATATCACAAAGAACAGATAAATATCGCAATGAATGGTCAGCTCAAATGTTTGCTACACATAATGCATTCTGTCAGTCAAATGGAAGCATGATTTTTTTTAACAAATCAAATAGAGCTCTTCACCCATTTGGCCAATTGGGTGGGTTCTTATGGTCCTGAGACGGACAGCACTTAATTGTGATGGTTAGCAAACACCTGAGTTAGCTTTGTTCTGCTCTTTTTGCTGATTCTGCTTTTCCCGGGATACACTGATAGCCTTTTTTGTTCATTTTCTTTTTCCCTTTCCCCACATCTTTTGCTTTTCTCATTTTAATGATTTTTTAAATTGCTTTGTTTTTTGTTATTTTTGTTTCTGAGCTACGTTTTAATTTATCGCAAGTAATATCGTCATTGCAATATTAATCACAGATCGAATATCGCAGGTTTTCCTAATATCGTGCAGCCCTAATTTATTTTTTAAAAGCATGTAATTGATTTGTTGCCATCATGGGGAAGAGCATATTAATTAATCACGTTGAGGAGCAATCTAAAAAAATCATTTCAGTTTGTGTTTTTAATATTTGAAAATACAAAACTGAAATTTGTTCTTGTTAAGGTTCTTGTTCCAACCATCTCACCTGCGTCGGAAAAGATGGTTGTGATCCAACTCTTCCTCCTCATCAGTCTTTAATTGCCCCCTGTCCCTCAGCCTCCTCTTCCTCTCCTCAGGGTCCAGAGTGAGGACGACCACCAGGCTAGGCTGCAGCAGGTCACTGGGCCACAGATACAGCTCAGAGCCTTCCTGTGGCAGGTTAGCGACCGGACCGCTCACTGCAGTGGCGATGGCATACGCTGCTGTGCTGTGCCAAAATCTGATGGGTAAGAACAGAAAGTGAAACAAAGATGCTTTTCCCTTTTTCTCGTGATTTTATCTCCTACAACATCTCAGCTGTCTTTTACCTGTCAACAATAACGGGCGCCTTCATGCCCTCTTGGTATATTTGCTCTGCGGTGATGTAATTCCCCAAAGCATAGAAGGCTCTGCGGATAAGGGGCGGCTCTTGATCGAAGCGGGCTCTCCAGGGGGACAGGCACTGGGGAGGGGACCTCAGTAGGGTGGCTCCAAGAGTGTCCCTCAGAGACTCTGTAAGAGTAGTCTTACCTGTGATTATAGGGAGGAAAAAATTCCCAATTTCTTAAAGAGATCTACTAAATATTGAAGTGACACTTGACAAGTCTGCCTCCTATGACCCGTATGATTGAGGTTTTTAAGGAGTGCCGCATGAGCAAGCAATCCAATCATGACGCAGCTTTTCTGAGACCATTATCCACGATATCCCATTAGCTCACTGGCAGGCAGATGATGCATCAAACTGATCACATATTTATTTATGAGGTAATGGCATTAACCTGTAGCATCCAGACCCTCTATGACAACAACAGGGAAGTCTGGTTTTCCTCTGGCATTCACTCTGCTGGGAAGCATCCTCAGCACAGAAGAGGCCTCGGGGATGATGTCACCACACTGCAGATCAGGCAGAAGGCTGCTGTGAGAGGAGGCAGGGGGTGGCGAACACACGCACTGCTCTCAGCCACCTGGCACATTTAGATAAATGAAGACTCGAGAGCTCCTGGGCTTCTTGACTTAAACTGCAACGCCTTTCTCCTCCACATGATGGCGCTATTTAGCTAAAATAAACATGAGCCTGTACCTTTATCAGAACTTTGCAGACTTCATCGAGGCAGTAGAAAACATCAGAGTTGATCATGTTGAGAGTAGATGGATGACATGTGGGTGTTTCTGCAGAAACCACGTGATACTTGAGGGTTACTTCTTTATTTGACCACACATGCTGAGTCCAATGCTGCTTTTCTTCATCCCCAGAGTACGAACACACCAACACCTGGTCTTGCTGCTCTAAATCAACTAAAAATCGCTCTATATGAGAGGAATTCTCGGGTTTCCCTTTTAAGAAATAGCCCTTAATGAGGGAATTTTTAACATCTGGAAGGAAGGAGGACATGTTGGTCACATCTGAGCCCAACACGTTCTCACACCCTAAGCGTCGGAAACAAACGCTTGGTCACTCACTTTCTGCGTCAGATACCAACGCAGAAAGTGCCCTTTTTCGTATATATGTGACAAAAAGGAGTCTCCGTTGATTCTAATGCAAATCCCAGTGCAGCGACATAGTGACGAGTTTGGATGTTCTCTTGCGCTGCACTGAACACGCATATTTCCCCATCATTTGGATAACTTTGAGTATTTTTCTGACATCTGTGGAGCCACATTTAAACACGGACTTTGCGGCAGCTTATGCTTACATTTATATAAATTGTGTGGACTTCTGAACGTGACTACGAGTCATCTACGTCAGAATCGATTTATTTACAATACAGTTATAAAACACCGGTATGTTTATTCAACTGCTGTAGACAACAATTTTCATTTATTTGTCAGTAGTAAGCCGTGTTTATTACTTCTTTGTTGCGTTATGGCAAACATAGCAAACTATGTTTCCCACAATCCTCGGCTGCGGACAGAGAACGAGCATCTTTTTTACCTAATGAAACGAGACTCGTGTGTTTCGGTTGTTTATGCAGCAATCTCGTACGCGTGGCTGTGAAAGCTCTGCAACAAAAATGTTAAATTGTTATTATTTTTATTTTCAAGTCCCTGAAATGGAACTATTCCTCATGGATGTGACAGAAGAGCCACGTTTTTCCATTTATCAAGGTAATACAAAAACACCGTAACTGTTTTTTTTCCTTTGGGAATGCAACAGGCTCAGCCGTAGAGCTTAACAACACCTCTGTCTGTTTTCTGTCAGCCGATTGCCACTGACAGCTTTGTTTTCATATAGTAGCAGACTTTTAGCGTAGCATAGCATCTTTGTTTATTTTACAACAAAATCAACCATACGTCTCATCACACAAATAACGTGCTTCTGTTAACTCCTGGAAACAAATTCTTCCTTTTTTTATTTGTGTCAGGCATTCGTAGGCTTATTGAGTTGTAAGTTTTTCTTAAATTCGCTCATAGTAGATGCCCATAAGCCGTACCTTCTGACAACCAACGCCTAGCCGATCGCCTAGCCTCCACCGCTAGCTTCCAGATTCTAACTACTTCAACGTGAAATTATGTATTTTGGTAATTTCATCATTTGATTCAGTGTTGTCGCACTGTGTTGGCAAGATAGTAATATTTTCCTCGTTTTAAAATAAAAATAATTTTCACTGTAGAAAGTAGCTTACGTGCGTATGACGTCAGACGTCATTACAGCAACAACATTCACGCCTTGGCCCGTCCTTCCTTGGCGGCCTTTTGGTTAATATCGTGTGGCTTCCCTCTTTTCGGTAAGTCAAATTAAATTTACATATATAAAATGTATTATAAAAGTAGTATAGTTAGCTAATTCAGATACGATTTTATTGGAGGATGGTACAAACATTATTTCATGACAAAAAAAAGCAAACACTTTCTCGGAGCATAATTATTAAGGCTAGTACTGTCAAAGTAGCCTAGTAAACTAGACTGTCAGTTGTCTTGCTAGGCTACTCACCCTAAAATGTAGCTTAATAATGTACCTTCTTTCTGGACATTTGCCCAATTAAATTGTCAAAACGTCTATAATACAAATACAAATATTTAGAAGAAGACTTATTTAAAATATGCATTACTTAAATTGCATACATTTTCAAAATTATTGCTAGCTCATTATTTCCCAAACAGGCGCGCGCCCCATGGGAGGAAAGCGGTGCATTTGCAGTAGGATGAATAAAAAGTTGAAAAGTAAAATGTTAGGAGGCTGCTAGCATAATAGACTGGCTTTCGACATGGCTGACACAAAAATACAAAGATCTGCAGTAACAAGCAGGCTCACACCAGTCATTATTGAGAAGATGAGATATTAAATATGTCATTTTAGTTTAATTAAACCTTTACCATTGTAATTTCTTTCATGACATTGTGCACTAAAACCGATTTTGCACAGAGACATGTTTTAGTTTACTTAGAGCTGTGGTTAGTTTCTTGTTTTTAAAAAAAGATTGCCGTTTATTTTATTGTAATCTTTAGTTTATTGCTGTTACTTTTCGTTGTTCAAATCGTCAAGAATGTTTGCGGTGTGTAATAAACTGTAATGTAGTTAGAAAATGAGGTTTGTCTGTTTGGAGTGTGTTGAGAGGTACAGAAACAACATTTAAAATCAAGGATGGAGGCATGTTTGGTAACCACTGAGCTAGCCTATTATAGTCTTCAATTAATCTTTTTTAATAAGCTAAATTATAAAATGGCTTGTAAAAGTGTAGTTCACATATTTTTATGCATTCCAGTTTTTTTTTTTTACTGGAATATTGGAGTTTTTTTTTGTTCCTGTAAATCTTTAGAAGTAGGCCTATTTGGACAATTGGTCATAACTTATATTTACCACATGTTGTCATTCTTTTCAGACAATGACGAAGCCCAAACTTTTCAACTGCCTCTCCTGTGGGGGGAGTAATCGAGTCGGGCAGCGCACCTGTGGGCACTGTCTCGCCACCCTCCAGACCCCCAGAATAAGACAGCAACAAAGCCGCATCCAGGCCTGTGGATGGGCCTCAAAAGTTAAAAAAAACCGCAATGCTGGCCGAATTCTGGGTTCAGCAGAGCTTTCTGTGAGTTTATATGACAGTACTGCGGTGAGAATAGTTAAGGGGGAATTTTGAAAAGTGAGAGTACATTTTTTTATAATTGTAATATGTTGTTTTCTTTTAGGTCCTAAAACTACAGGAGCTCGGGATGTGCCCTGTTCTGTTTGTGGGAAAGCAGGGCAGGAATGGTCAGTTGACAGCGGATTTGCTCCAACATTTCCCAGATTTGGACTCTGTGGGCCAGGACATTCTGAGGAAAATGAAGAAGCTCTACGAGCATCTTCTGAAAAGTGAGATGACTTGTCTTTTTTTTAATTTATTTCCCTATAACTAAAGTGTACTTTAAATAAACGTACAATGTGAGTTACAGTCGCTATGTTTCTTAGACTTTGACAACAATATGATAAAAATTTAGTAACACTATTTTAGTAAGCCAAGATTAAAATGTAGCTTGATCAGTTTTAGTTAAGTTAGGCTCTGCAGCAGCCTCTTAATCACAAGCGTGCTGGATAACGGCCCTCAAGGGCCAGGCTTGCCCACCCCTGTTCTAGCGCATGTGGGGTTGTCAGGAGAGACACTAGTGATGCTGAACAAAAACTGAGCAAAATAATCCCATTGTTGTACAAACTGTCAGAACTTTGCTCATGACATGACAAATCAAAGGTCTGCATGAGGCTTTTACTCACAGACATCCTCTACCTCACTGTGCTCAGTCACGCTCATGCTGCTGTCCACTCTCCTCCTACAGAACGTCGTTGCCATGGCGTACCATCTTTGGACATTTAACTCTATAACTCTGTATTTCCTTGCTGCCTGACAGCTGTTTGATGGCTCTGCTGCATTGACCGCCATCATCTTAAAATTAATGTCAAAAGTCTGGTTCAGTAGTCTGATCATTTGCCCCACTTTTGATCCGCTCACCTCTGGACTGTTCCGTCTTTACCAAAAGCCTGCGCCGTTTGCTGTTGCAGTCTTGTAATGATCCAAAACAACTATCAGCATCTGTCACAGTTTAGACCCCAATCAAAGGTTGATCTCACATTTTTGCATTATTTTCAACCCAAAAAAAAATGTTGTCCTATACTTGGGTCAATACAGTATTTTGTGGGATTATTTATTTTTGAAACCCCATATAGTTAGTACATATTTACCCCACCTTTGCAATAGTGTTTTTCTGCGTACCTACATCCACATTTTGGGACTGCCTCTGTTCTTGTTGCTGTGGCACACTTACTGCCCATTGGCTACTGGTTGCTATGCTCTCTCTCTATGGTTCTGGGAAGGGCTGGGCAATAAATAGAAAATTTATCGTTGTCGAAATTTCTGTGAGGGAAAGCTGGAGCATGAGATCGATAGGCGGATTGGTGCTGCATCTGCAGTGATGCAGGCGTTGCACCGGTCTGTCGTGGTGAAGAGAGAGCTGAGTCAGAAGGCGAAGCTCTCGATTTACCGGTCGATCTACGTTCCTACCCTCACCTATGGTCACGAGCTTTGGGTAGTGACCGAAAGAACGAGATCGCGGATTCAAGCGGCCCAAATGAGTTTTCTCCGCAGAGTGGATGGGCTCTCCCTTAGAGATAGTGTGAAAAGCTTGGTCATCCAGGAGGGGCTCAGAGTAGACCCGCTGCTCCTCCACATCGAGAGGAGCCAGTTGAGGTGGCTCGGGCATCTGATTAGGATGCTTCCTGGACACCTCCCTGGTGAGGTTTTCTGGCTCATTCAACTGGGAGGAGACCTAAAGAAAGACCCAGAACACACTGGAGGGACTCTGTCTCTCACCTAGCATGGGAACGACTTGGGATTCCCCCGGAAAAGCCGGCCCAAGTGGCTGGTGAGAGGGAAGTCTGGGCCTCGTTCATGCAAATGAATTACTGCCCCAAATACTGAGGTTATATTCATTATTATACTTATCTGAGGTCCAATATTTCTCTATTCCAAATCCTTGTTTTCTTCATTTATTGTAATTTTATATTATTGTTATATTTAGACTTTGAATGTAAAAAGTATCTAACATAAATTAGTTTCACCTCTTTGGTTGAATTACTGAAATCTGTGAACTTTCACCTGTATAATTGTTATCAAAAATCTTATTTTAAATCAAATGCTATTTTTCCAGTTATTAGGAGAAATTATAGTATATATTAATACATTTCCATAAAAAACATGGGATTAGGTGCTCGCCTCCATTTTCTTTTCAACACTATAGGATTATGTAATAAATATATTGAGTAACCCAGAAATAATATTAAGTTTCTGACAATGTAACTTTGTTGGTCAGAGCTTATCGTAATTTATTTCTTTGCTTTGTGTTTCAGGGTTATTTGTTCCTCAATTGCTGCAACCGTCTACTTCAGTGGCTCTTATTCCCCCCGTCGTTCACGCAGCACCAGAGCAAGAATTTGT